TGATTTAAACAAGCCATTTGAGGGTGGTTTGCTCCTCGTTTGAGGCCTGGTCCTGATTATAAATGAGAGCTTTTAATTAAGATTAGCAAGACCCAATTCAAGCTATAATTTGGTCCTTTTCCTTAGCAAATGTCTATGAAAACAAGGCAATTAAGGTTAAATGAGTTGAAGCATTTAAAGAGGATGAAATGCCCCCTCATACCCCAGCCTGGCCCTCCGGCAGAATAAGCTCAAACAGGCCCGGCTAATGCAGACCAGGAGGCCGGCACAGGATGGCCCTGGCAGCTTCCAAAGACCCATGGGGCTGGGTGAGCTAGGGATGCACAGGCTTAGTCAAAGGAGGAGAGACAGAGAAAAGGGCATGTGCAAAGGTCCTGGGGTAGGAAGGATCTGGAGAATCTGAGGAACTAGGAAAAGACAGAGCTGCTGGGGTGAGGTTAGAGAGGGATGGTTTATAAAACAGCTCTAAGTGGGTGAGCTGAGCATTGTGCTAAGCCTGAGGGGGGTCATCACTAAGTACAGGATGGGTGACACAATTCTAGCCCCTCACATTCTCAAGACCTGTCTCAGACAAGCTGGGGGCAGCAGAAAGGGACGGTAAAATAGGAAAGGGTCCCCACAGCCTCCTCCATTGCTCTGTAGCTATGGAAACCCCTCCCCATGCCTTTGGACGACGTACTAGGGCTTTGCCATGGCAGTGTGGTGTTGGAGTCCAGCCCTCCTGCCTGTCAGCTGGGCCATCTGGCTACAGACTGACCTCCAGGACCCAGTTTCCTCTGGCAAACTCTGCCACTGGGCCCAGCCTCCGGTAGTCTCACACATCATCATAAACCCTAGGGGACAGGGGCTATGAGGAGGAATGCGCATAGACAAAGACTCATTGGTTGGGGAATCAGGTAAGGCCTCCTGAAGGAGGTGCACCTTTGGCATACGTCCACCCACCCTTTCCTCTGGTGAAAGCCCTCCACTCTCTGCTGGGTTCATGGGAGCTGAACAGGTCACAGGCCCTGTGCCTGAGGGGCCCACATTCCAGGAGAAAGCCCAGGAAAAGCTAAATGCAGCACGATGGGCTAAAGTTAAGGTGGGAACACATCTGGAGAGGACGATAAAGAGGAGCAGTCATCTGCCAAACACGGGGCCTGTGCTGGTGCCCTGTGGAGGTCCTTTCAACTCTGGAGATGCATGAGTGTACCCAAGTGACTTCTAATCCGGCCAAGATGCAAATCATTGAAGAGACACTGATGTACCCTCCGCCTCACTCAGAACCTTACTCAGTGTTCTGAGCCCCTCCGTCTGCCACAGCCAGCCGCCCAGTGGGCCAGACTGTCCCCAGACACAGCTGCACGCGTGGAGCCACCAAGCCACAGTAAGAAACCATGCCCAGAATGGAGGTGGGCTGTCCTTGGTGCTGGGTTTGCTACCAGGAGTTTTACAACCAGCAGAAACTCCAAGGTGATCCAGTAAAGGGCTTCCCACAACCTGGTCCCACTTCCCATAAAGAACTGTGGAATGCTGGAAGCTCTCAGGGAATGCTTCGCGGTGAGCCCTCTGTATTCACTGCAGTAGATAGTCTGTGAGCTCTGCAGGGCAGGGAGCTCAGCCCCCCAAAACTCTAGCCCCTGCAGAGCCCCACACCAGTGCAAGGGCTGCAGATGAAAGAGTCCAGGGAAAGAAAACAGGTTTCAGGGACCAAAAAAGTGATCGCCCAGGTAGTGTGATGATCGATTAGTGATGTCTGCCGTGGGAGAAAGTGGCAGCATATCTGACATCCACATACAAATGGAAGCCTCGAGTCCCATGAATTTTTAATTGCATCTTGTTGGTAGGTGGCTATGTGCAAATGGCACAAATGTCTGTCTCTATGTCTCTACAGGGATATGGACGTATACAGAGGGGTTATATGAACCACCTTATTATACGACATGCCTCCTTTCCGGCCATTTTAGGTCCAGGAAACTGTTGGGAAAAGACAAAGCTCCATCCCTTTACACAGACTGAACAGAATCATGATGACCAACTTACCATGATCAACAGCAACAGGAGACGATCAGTATCAAAAACACTGTCATCAACACTGCATCAGCACCACCCTCATCCTCACCTCCTCCTTCCTCATCACAATCACCACCGTCTTCATCTTCCTCCTCCACCTTCACCTGTCAACATCCCCACCATCATCATCATCTTCATCATCATCACTATCATCATCCCCATCATGAACAATAGCATCATCATCAACAACATCACTGTCACCCTCATCATCAACATCTTCACTACCATTGTCATCACCACAGTGACAGCAACTAGTGCTCAGGTAGCACAACTTATGCTCCAGGCTATGTTAAAATGTTTTAAATATATTAACTCATGTCACCCTTATGCTCCACGAAGTAGGTACTAATAGTATCTCCATACTGCAGATAAGCAAACAGCTGAGTGGCTTGCCTGGGCTACACAGGCAGGATCTAAACCTAAGCAGCCTGGCTCCAAAGCCCATGCTTTAATGCCTCTGCTCGGCTGAATAAGGACTGTGTGTTCTCTTCTTGGGGGCAGAAGGGACAGACAGCAGTGGCCACCTGTGGATACAGTGTGGAGAAATGGTTCCACCACACTTGGGCTCTGCTCCCACCCTTGGCAAGACTGCCACCCTCTCAGTCTCCATGTGGCCATCTGTAAACCAAGGAAGTGAACATCTGGAAGGTCTCCATGCTCCATTATGCCACTTCTGCATGTGGCCTGCCAGCCCCCAGGGGTGTGCAGTCCACCCGGGGAAGCCGGTGGGGACCTGATGGCCCTTGGGCCTGCTGAAGACCAAGGACTGTGGGTGGGTTCCAGGGGTGAGAACATCTGATAGAAGCAGGACAGGGTCCACTCAGGTCCCCAGAACCCTCGACAGCACTCACGCATGCAGCTTTGGGATCAAGTAGCTAACTGGCACCATCTTCTCTGTTACTCTACGTGCTGATGCCCCTCCATCCTAAACATGCTGAGGAAGACTTCCCACTGACAAATAATCTCAGCCTATACAGTGCCATCAGCCAGCAAGCTCCTGGAGGGCAGGGACTGGGTTGCACCATGAGCCTCACTTCCCAGGTGCCCAGCACCAAGGGAATGTCAGACAGCTTCACCCTTCATAATCTCATCCGGGCTGCAGGTGCTGAGAGGCAGCAAGGACCAATGAGGGTGGCAGAGACAATGGTGGTAATGACACGCACATCTGAACACATACTGTACACTGATTGGCCACAGTGAGCCAGTGTGTGTGTGTGTGAGACACCCTGCCTACTACATGACTTCCTTCTGGAGCAGAGGGTGGCATGAGGCCCAGGAAGCCAGTGAGGGGCAGAGCTAGGGTTGGGACAGGTCTGAGTCCAAGCCCAGGGCTCAGGTGGTGAGGGCAGCTTCCACTGGACTTTGGAGGGCTTCAGGGAGGCAGGCAGGAGACCTGGGCAGGGGCCAGGAGAGGCAGGCGTGGGCCTGTGGACTGGGCTCAGGGAGGACGGGGCCAGCTCAGTGGCATATCCTGGCAGAGACAGGGGGTCAGTTTCAGCCTTCCTGGCCTTCCCTTGCAGGGGACTGGGTCTGAGGGGCTGGCAGAGGGTCAGAAAACAGTCACATGAAGCCTGGCTGAGCTGATGCCAGGCCCTGCCAGCATCTGGGCCAGCCACCCCACCAGGCTCCTGGCTCACGATCTGCTCTCCCCGCCTGCAGCCTGGCCTCTTCCCTGAGGTTGTGGGTGGGCATCCACTCCTGGGCCCTGAGCAAGCTGGGTATGTGCCCACGGCAGGCATGATCCAAGGGATGTCACATGCCCAGCACTCAGCGGCAGGTAGGAGCTCCACCAGGAAGGAGCCAGGTAGACAGTGCTGTCCCGACTGCTGCCCTCAGGTCCCTGGCGGAAAGGACCAGTTCCTGCTTTGCTTTCACAGGGCACTTCCCCGCCACAGACTCACACTTTGAAGAACTGAGCTGGCAGGGCAGAGAGAAGGAGCTGTTGGCGTGTGGCCGAGGGGAAAGAGAAGACCTGGATTTCAGTCCTTACTGTGTTGCTGTGAAACTTGAGGACCCTGTAAAAGATGCTTCTCTCTGAGCCTCAGCTCCCCCATCTGCACAGTGGGAACTCTCAGGGGAGATGTGGACGAGTGACCCCACCCAGGGCCACATCTCCCCTGAAGGTCAGCCTCTGGCCCACACTCACAGGGTCAGGATGACCACACAGACCTTCAGAGACAAATGTTCCCAAAGCCTCATCTGGGGAGGCCTAGGTCCCAACCCCACTGCGGCTGCTTTTTGCGTGTGTGAGTGAGGTACTGGGAATCAAACACAGAGCTTTTCCATTGAGCTACATCTCTAGCCCCTCCTTCCACTAAATTTATTTATTTGGAGAGAAGATCTCACAAAGTCATTAAGTTGTCCAGGCTGGGCTCAAACCTGCAATCCTCCTGCCTCAGCCTCCCAGAGTGCTGGGATTACAGGCGTGTGCCACTGTGCCTGGTGAGGCCGCTCTTTTCTCTCTGAATTCTCCCTGCTAGTCTCTAATGCCAGGTAGTCAAACCAACACTCTAAGTGCACTGAGGGGAGGCTGGACAGACTTTAAGACACACCCAGTATCTATCCGAGCGCTGGAGCTGGAGATAGAGGACCTGAGCCAGACTAACAGCTGTGGCCAGCTCCCGAGCAGGTCCGTTGGGGAAGCTACAGGCCATGTGGGGTGGTTTTGGTTTGAAGTTAGAGATCTAGGGGGCAGTGGATCACCCCAGGCCTCTACCAACCCCCATATCCAGTTAGGGACAGATGTACAAATATAGCATTCGAGGATTCACCTCAGTTTCTTTAAAAAAAAAACAACCCAAAATCTAAAACGTGGGCAATAGTCACATCTCCAACTTTCACCCTCCGGGAAAGCAGCGTATGTCCTGCACAGAGAAGCAGGAGAGGTTCTAGAGAAGCCTGTGCTGTCACCACCCACGGGCAGCTGCAGGCCCTGGGTGGGGACTCACCTTCACACTGCCTCCCTTCTCCTTTGTAGCCTGGCTTGCAGAGGCATTTGTAGGACTTGAGTGTGTTCTGGCAGATGGCATCAATGTGGCAGTCATCTGTGCCCTCAGAGCACTCATCCACGTCGACTGCTCCTGGGTGTGGGGAGAGGACAGGTCAAGTGTGGCCAGGGAAGGAGCTCTCACCGCCACCCTTCCATTGATCACTGGGGTAACTGATAATGACAGCTGTCACGTCACAATCTGGGGAGGCAAGTCGCGACTGGCAGCATCCTTGGGGCAACCATTCCTGACCAATATGTTTGGACTCATTTGTTTCCACAGCAATCCCGCTGAGTGTGGCTATTTTTCCCACTAGAGAGATGAAGAAATGAACTTCAGCAAAAGCTTCTCTGTGTTCTTGGCTCCCCATGAACATCCTCCTCGTTCTCCTTGCTCAAGGGTTTAGAGCTACACGGATCCTTGGAGGAATTTAAATCCAGCCCCTAAATGGAGTACTACTCTGCCATAAAGAAGGAGAAACTAGAGACATTTATAGCTAAATGGATGCATACTGAGGCCATACTCTTAAGTGAAATAAATAGGACACACATGTGTAAATACCAACTAGTTTCTCTAGTTCAAGAAATTGAAAGTGTAAATAAGGATTAAAATGATTAAAACAAATAATTAGGGCCGGGGATTTAGCTCAGTGGTTCTGCCGCCTGCCTTGAAAGCGCAAGGTCCCGAGTTTGATCCCCGGTACCAAAAACAAACAAAAACAAAGAAAAAAAGGAATAATTGATAATTTGAAATAGGAAAAGGTCCAAAGGTGTAGGGGTGGTGGGAGGGGAAGGGGAAAGGAAAGAAGGGAAAGGAAAAATTATGAGAAAAGAAAAAAACGGAAACGAAATCTATGTAAATAGGGAAGGGTGGAGGGGGTGAAGGGTGCACAGGTAATGGGAAAAAAATAAGAACCAAGATACATCATATACAGGTACAAACACCCAATGATAAATGTAAACGTATTGTATACCTAAAATGTACCAATAAAAGAATTAAAAAAAAATCCAGCCCCTTTGGGTTACAGATGGGGAAACTGAGGCTGGGGGAGCAGTGAGCAGAGGCCATTCCAGGAGGCTCCTGCAGCTGACCTGAACATGCATCCCGCCCAGCTGGAGACAGTGGCAATACAAATCTCCATCTGGCTTGCACACCCCTGCAGAGGGCAGCGGCAGGACAGGTCTTCAACCAGGCCAACCCTGCTCTGTGCTTCCAACCCCACCCTATCTTCCCCAGCTTAGGAATCTAGGTGTGAACCTGCTTCTCAGATACCAGCTCCTAGGGATGGCTTGGCCAGAAAGGACCTTAGCAGCAATCCAAGCTCTCTCCGCAGGGTTCTACGAAGGAAGGGGGCCCAGGGCTGTTCAGTATGGTGGGCAGCTCACCAGGGGCAGAGGCTGGGTCCCACCACAGAACCAGCTGCCCCGGAAGCCACGCTACTTCTACCCACTGTGGATAAAATACGGCAGACAGACAGAAGGACCTAGGTGAACAGCGCCAGGGCAGTCCCCGGGGAGAGCTTGGGATGTCCCCACCTCCTCACCCCTCTGGCTTCACGTAAGATCGCCTAGTTCCCAAGAATGTCCACTTTGAATTCTTCCTCCGTCTGGCACCTGGGTGCTGAACCTGTGCAGGTGCCTCTCCCCAACCCCCACGTCTTCTTTTCCTCCCGCCCAGCCCCAAGGCTCCAGCCCACCACCCAGGGAAGAAAGGCACCAAAAGGAACACAGCATATGACCTCCCCGTACACAGATGCACACGCAAGCACACACGTGCACATGCTCACACACCCAGTGTCACTGGTCAGGGTGGCTGTATGCACTCGGGGAGAGCCTGTCCTCCAGAGCTGCTCAGACCGTGGGGGAAAGAGGCTGGGAGGCAGTCCATGAATACAGCAGGCCAGGGGCCAGCAGGAACATGGCTGAGGAGCCCTGGAGCAGGGACAACCGTGGGACCTGTGCAGGTCTGGCACTGACTCAGGGTTTGGGGCAGCGGCCAGTGAGGACCAATCCACATGCTTGGGCAAGGGTGGGGCCGCTTCTGGGAGGGCAGCAGGGGCATCTGATCACAGATATGGCTCTTGCTGCTTCCCAAGGGTCATCGTGGCAACGGGGGACAAGAACCTGCCTGGGGCCCCCACTCCTAATCTCCGCCTCCACATCAGGATGGAAGGGGTGGGCAGGCCTGTCTGCCAGCACACCTTACAGACACATCCTTGGTGGGCTGTGGGGAGGGATTGGGGACGCAGGTTCTCTGGCCAGGTCTGGGCTGGAGGTCCTCTGTGAGGGCAGCCTGGCCTTCTGTCACAGGCTCACTTTGACTTGGGTTTGCTGGAGCTGGGGACCAGCTGCTAGGCTCCCACAGTTCCTGGGCTTTCACAGAAGGGAGAAGTGGGCAGGAGACAGAGCCACACACAGGGACACTTGCAGAAGCGAAGAACCCCAAAGGAGTCTGGAAGAGACACCCACAGACCCGGGTTGGCAGGGGATGACAGGCAGCAAGGCCCGGTTTCTGGAAGATGAGGTATGGGGCAAAGCTCAGGTCCAACCCTGGAACAGTGGAAATGGCCGGGCACCCTTGCCTGGGCGTGACTCCTAGGAACGAAACCGGATCCCAACTCCACCACAACCCCAGGGACCCAGCTCCAAGGATAGCGAAGGCACAGGCACCGGAGGGACCCTCCTGACCCCTCTGAGGAGAAACAGGGAGGAAGCCTCCTGACGAGGGAGAGAATGTGACTCCGCCTTTGCCCCAGCCACTTCCAGACAAACAGAGAGCAGAGGGGAGAGGGCAGGAGTCTGCCGCTCGCTGGCCCCCTCTGAGGCCCACCCCTCTGGGTTCCTACCTGCTACCTTCCTGGTTCTATGCGTCCAGCTCTCCCCGCTCCGGTCTGACTGTCCGTCTATTCGCAGGAGTCCTCACCCTCTCTCGCTCCCCGAGCCCTGCGCCGCCCCTTCTCCGCCCCTCCCGGTCCTCCGTGTCTTTCCCGGTGTCCGGTGTCCCCACCTCTCCTCCTCTCCATGGGCAGCGCGGTCCACCCAAGCCCCGTTCCTCCCTCTGTCTTCCTCCTCCCTGCTGTCCAGTGACTCGCCTTCTCCTCTCCTCTCTGGCGCTTCTGCTCTCTTCCCTGCCCTCGGCGTCGGTCTTTCTCAGGCGTCTTCCTGCGTCCTTTTGTGTGTTCCCCAGAGCCTCCTTTTCGGTCCGTCGGTCTCCCATCTCCTCTCTGTCTTTCTCTCACCCTCTTTTCTCCGCTCGCCGCCGCGGATCCCCTCCGGCCTCCTCCTGCCCGCGCCCCTCTCCCATGGGGGCAGCGCCCCTCGAGGCTAGAGGTCCCCCGCCCTGCCCGGGCCCCCGAGGCCACGGCCGTCGCGCTTCCTTTCCTCCTCCCGCCCCCGCTTCCCCTCCCTGGGCCTCAGCCCACCCCGCCCCTGCCCGCCGGGGGGCTGGGGAGGGGGCGCCCCGGCCGGCCCCAGAAGTTACTTTGCAAAGAGGCGGGGCGGACTCGGGGCTGTCGGGGGTTGCAGCCCGCGAGGGCGAGGGATGGGTTGACCCCGGGACCTGCGCCCCCGCCCCCCCCCCCTCATTCCCCCACCCCACCCGGCGCTTACCTGGGAGCCCGCTGCCTCCCGCCAGCCGCCCGCGCGCGCCCAGGGCGAGCAGCACGCACAAATGCCAGCGCACGGCAGCCGCGCCCATGCTCGCTGCGGGCCGGGCCGGCGTGCGGGCGTGCGGGGCTCGGGACCCTCCGACCGCTGCTCCGAGCGCTCCGCGCTGCTGGCCGCTCCGCCAGCGCAGCGCTTCGAGCCACGGAGCCGGCGCGGAGGACGGGCTGACAGCCACGCGCTCATTGGCTCGCGGCCTCAGGGGGCGGGGCGCCGCGTGCAGCCGGCCAATGGGCGCTGGTGGCCGGCCGAGGGGGGAGGGGAAGGGCGGGGCCTCCGGGGCTGTCCCCTCCCCTGGGGCGGACGGCAGGTGGGGGGTGGGGGTGCGGGTCTCGGCCGGGCCGGGCTGAGCTCGCTTTCCTAGGCTCTGCAGCCCCGAGCCCGGGGCGTCGAGAATGGGGAGCAGCACCTCTGCCCCCACCTGAGACGCGCGCGATGGAGAAGAGGAGACCGCGGACAGAAGCCCGGCGTGGACAGAGGCCCGAGGTCGCGGTGGGCAGTGAAGGCGACCCCTCGTCCATGCGGTCATCCGTCCACGCGGTCATCTGCCCGCGTTTCCTGAGCTCCTGATGGTGCCCAGAGCTGCCTGGGCAGCCGCCAACAAGCCAAACAGGGCAAACTCACGAAGATGGGGTGTGCATTAGAGAACTTTTGGTCACTCCACCCAGGACAATGGTCTATGCAGTGCGCTGTCGTGGGCCTGAACCGGCGTCTGCGACAGGGTGGTGGGTGGTGGACCGCGACACGGCAACCCCGCCGTCTGCCAGGCGAGCAGAGAGTGCAGCCAGAGAGGGCGAGGCCTGGGCCTCCCCATCAGAGCCGGCGGCGGGTGGTGGCAGGGACAGCAGGAACATCGCCTTCGCTCTGCTCGGACTGCTCTGGGGTCTCCACCTGACGCCCTCGGCCTTGGAGTCCAGCCGACCCGCCCAGCCCACGAGGCGTGGCTGGGAATAAATGGCCCCTCTCAGCTCCAGGCTGGACGCTTGCAGGGAAGAAAGTTCAGCAAACCCCAAGGCCCATCTCCTTGACAACCACCAATAAGAGCTCCTTTTTTCTTCTCCAGCTCTCCAGGCTCGGCTCAAAGACAGGACTTTTTCTTTCTGTGCACTCGGCCTGTGACAGCGTGTGCCCAACCTTTCCCCTTGGTGCCCTCTTGCTCCAGCACACAGCCTCTGCCCTGCTGCCTCCGTGGGCATCTCCTCCACCCAGAGGCAAATAGGTGTCTTGCTGGCTCTGGCTGCCCCTCCAACTTCACGCCAGCTTGTGGCATTGGCCTGGTGGCCAAGGCAAGGGTCCCCCACGTGGGATGACCTGAAAGGGGCAGAGAGGAAGGAAGGGCTGGTCTGGCTTCCTCTAAGTCCTGTGCTTCTCCCCCATCCCTGCACCCACTTTTTCTGCCTGGTTGCTCCTGCTCAGTACTTTATTTAGGGAGTCCCCCTTATCAGGCATTATGGTGTCTCTTTCTCAATCGTGTGGCCTTAGAATTTCTCCCCCAGAACCACATTTATCTTGTGCACGGGGCAACAGGACACCATTTTTGTTTTGTGGGGGGGATCCTCCTGGGGGGATCTGACTCACCAAAACCAGTATTTTTTAATGTGCCCCCCAAACCCTGGGCAGGTATCCCCCCAGCTTGATGGCAGCAAGGAAACCTCCTGGGCTCTGCCCCTTAAATCAAAGTGGGGACAGAGGCAGTCTGTGGCTTGTTATACTGTGACCCCTGCAGCCCAGGGACAGCCCCTACTTCCTTAGTGAAATTTTGATTTGCGGCCTGTCCCCAAGTCACAGGGCTCAGGTCAAGGTTTCTGGAGACCCCTTCACCCCTGCCACCTAGGTATGCAGACCGAGAAAAAGGGGTTCCTGTCAGAAGGGGATCATTCACAGTCAATGCGGCAGAATCAGGAGACAGCGTGGAGGTGACTGAAGACACACCTGTAAGCCCCTCACAAATTCTCTCTGGGGTGGCTTATGGGGCAGAGAGAGAGGAGGTCACTTCTGCCCCGTGGCCTGGAGCTGGGTATGAAGCCAGAGGAAGGGGATTCTCTGATGGACGAGGCTAAGTGGGCTGAGAGAATGTGCCAAGGTCCCCAGAGAAGGCAAGAACCACGGCAAGGAGAAAGTAAATGCTCCAGAGGCACCTCGAAAGCTGTCCAGTGAGGCCATACTGTGTGTGACAGTGACGTGACCGAGGGTGGCCCACAGAGACTGGTGTGCTGTACCAGGATGGGATGAATGGATGAGGAGGGAGTCTACACCTCAGGACTCCAGCAAGGGGGCCTTGGCGTCCCTGGAGACTGAGGCCGGCGATGTCACCTTCCCAAGACCTGTGAGCTCCTTAAGTGGCCAACCTGGCCCTCAGCCCCTCCTCAGCTCCCAGAAACTGCTGGCAAAGAGAACCCCGAAACTGCTCTGCTTCTCACACCCTCAACCTGAGAGTCCCCTCTGCCAGCACCCCCATTGTTCCCCTTCTTCACAAGGCTCAACCCTCCTCTCCGTCTGCGCCCCATCCCTGGCCACAAGCTGGGTTCAGGGCTTCCTCCAGGCTTTCCGAGACTCCCGGACTCCCCCCGCCCCCGCCCTGCCCCAGGCCAGCTCACCCTGTGCTTCCCATCTGTCTCTGTCCATGCTAGGGAATCCCAGGACCAGCTCAATTCTGGATCTCCTAGGATCTGTATCTGGGGCCACAGACCCCAGTCAGAGCTTAGGAGAATACTGTCACATAAATGAGTGGGCAACCCGGACAAAGAAACAGGCGGGCATCTGGTCATCGAGAATGCTTTTTGCTCCAGGGAAAAGATCCTGTCGGACGGGGCCTGGAAGGGTGAGTCAGGCTGCCCACTCTGTCCTGGCCACCCCCACGCCGTGCCTTGTGGGAAGCTGTGAGGGATCAGCAGGACCCGAGGCCTTGGGTGCCAGAGCAGGCGACCTGGGACCTGGGGCCCTTTGGCTCCCTCTGGCGTCGCCTTGGAGAGGAGGGATGAGGGGTGGAGCTTCCCTCCTTCTCCCTTTGGTACTCAGGGCTCTACCACTGCCCATGTTGCAGGCCTCTCTTCGGAACTGAAGACCAAGCCTGGCAGGAATGGCATGGGACCTCTCTGAAACCCACCTCCTCATCAGTAAAACTAGACTGATGCCAGGGTCTTGTGTGTGCGCTTGGGATACTGTCCCGGAAGCCCTCGGAACCGTCCTGTACATAGAAGCCATTGGTATGTGCTGTTAGGATGATCATTATAATATTTATTTATTAATTTCTTTTTTTGAGACAAGGTCTTGCTATGCGGTTAAACTCACTAAACCCAGGCTGGCCTCGAACTCATGATGATCATACTGCCTCAGCCTCCCAAGTGCTGGGATTACAGGCTGTGCACCCCTACACCTGGCAAGAATGCCTCACTTTGTAAAAATTTCGTCGGGCAGAATTCTCTTAATTAATAAAGTTTGTGAAAGTTTATTGAAAATATAAAATTCCTTGCAAGTGTAAAATGTCATCACATGGATGTTAAGCCTCAACCTTGAAGACTTCAGAGGTTTTTGTTCTCTTTTCTTATGAAAAATAAAATTGAGTGTGGTGGTACCTGCCTGTAATCCCAGCATTTTGGGAGGCTGAGACAGCAGGATTGAGAGTTGCATCCCAGCCTGGGTGGCTTCACAAGTCCTCCTCTCAAAAGGACCCCTGGTACAGCAAAAGAAGAAGGAAGAGGAAAAAGAAATAACACCTGGCAGGGGCCACACAGTTCTTTGGACCTTTGAGAGTAGTCGTTTCTTGCAGTCCCTGGGTGATCCTGGACCATGCAGGAGCTGCTCTTGGCCTGCCCTGTCCAGTGAGATCCTGATGTGGACTCTGAAGAGGCCGGCCTGAGTTGTAGGACCACGTATTCCCAGCGGTCACCACATGGAGGGATGTGGTTTCTAGGCAGGGCCCACACAAACTGCGACACTACATTGGCCCTCCACATGGCTGGCTTAGACCTGGATCAGGGCTGTGCTACACCTTTCTAACTTTCTAGAACCTGTTGGGACTCTTGGCACTGCCCCACCCTGCCATGCCAAGGGAGCATGAGGTGGGGTGAAGCCAAGAAGGGCATTTTAGAGGAGCCCAGGTGGGACAGAAAGTCCCCCAACCTCACTGGCACAGAGCCTTACAGGTCACAAGTGTCTCCCGCACCTACAGGGTGCAGTGGTGGAACTGATTCATGTTCACGGCCCCGTGGAAATGTCCTACCTGGACAGATGGGGAGCCTGAGGCCCAGCCTCATACACCTGGCATCCCTTGGATGCATACATCCCGCACCTTAAGCTCCACCCATGGGGCCCTCCGCTCTCCCGACCCAAGCACTGATCCAGGGCGCCTCTGTCTCTCCTGTCTCCACTCATTGCCCCTGTCATTGCTGCCATAGGCAGAACCGGCCCCTCCTCACCTCTGCTGCCCACTGGATTTGTGGAGACAACCCTAGCTGTCACAGACCTGTAATAACCAAGACCCTCTAAGTGGCAGCTCCTTCCTCATGCAATGTCCTTCCTCACTGCCTGGACCTGGCACATGGCTCTGTGCCTCTTTGGCATGGCATGGCAGGGTGGTGGCGAGACTTCTAACAGGTTTCCTAAATGTGCCAGGCTCAGCTCAGGTGCCCCGTCCTCAGAGCCCAGCCTCTGCCTGGGCCTGTGTGACCCCCACTGCAGACACTGACACTGCTTTGAAACCTGGGTCCTGGGGCTTAGCAGTGGCATCTCCCCTTTAGGTTGGGTCTACTCGGGGTATGGGTTAGTTAGATGTCCTGGCTGCCTCAATATCCCTTCTAGACCTTGACCTCAGGCCTCAGTGGTGACCAGGGGACCAGCTGGGCCAATGATTCAGTCTGGACAAGGAAACGAGATGAGCCTCCCCTCTCAGATGCCTTCCCTGGGATTCTGTCTTCTTCCCCACGTGGGTGAGAAGCAGTAAGGATGGTGCCTGGCTGTGTGCCACTGAGGCTCTACCATCATGGGCACAGTGGGCCTGGGAGAATGGACCCGGCAGTTGGAGAAGCAGGGGGAAAGACCCGAAGGGGGAGAGAGGGGGAGAGAGAGAGGGAGAGAGAGGGAGAGAGGGAGAGAGGGAGAGAGAGG